GTACAGATATTTTCTCATATTATGGAAAATATGTTTACAAATTCCTTGAAAGCAGTTGAGCTCTGTCTAAAACAGAAATCTTTTACAAATATACATGACAGCTATAAAATATAATATCCAGTTACAAATTCTTTGATTACTAAAGAGAAAAGATGAGAGGTATGTACCAAGAATTTAAATAAAATCCAGAAGGAAAATACCAACAATTAACAAAAATTCAGTTTTTAATGTCCTGATACTCCACAATTACACGAAATAAATTATATAAATATTAAGTTGACTGGCATATAAGCAACACACTTCAGCCAGATGTGGTGCATGCTTGTAATCTTGGCACCCAGGAGGCTGAGGCAGGAGGATTGCTGCAAGTTGGAGGCTAGCTATGTAGTGAGTTCAAGGCCAACCTAAACCACATAGCAAGACCTATCTCAAAAAACAAAAATCAAACATTGCAATTCACCTGTGAATCTAACAGGATCACCTAATCTGGTTAAAAGATAATGTTAAACTCCCACACTATTGCTTATATAAACATACAGAATTATGTCAGACAAAATTTATTTTTATAACTGAACTTATAAATACACAATCCAGAGGGGCTGGGAATTTAGCTCAGTAGCATAAGTACCTGCCTTGCAAGCAGGTGGTCGTGAGTTTGATCCCTGGTACCGATAAAAATGAAAAAGACAAAAAAAAAAAAAATACACAATCCAGAGATCTACTTTAAAAGTAATTTTTAAAACTGAGTATATTAGGGGCTGGGGATTTAGCTCAGCGGCATAAGTGCCTGCCTTCAAGCAGGCAGTCGTGAGTTCGATCCCTGGTACCAGTAAAAACAAAAAAGACAAAAAAAAAAAAAAAAAACAAACAAGCATTGTTATAAATAAATAAATAAAATTGAGCATATTTTGTTGATACTTTAGGATGTTTCCTCTGGTTGTGTATTTTCTATGCAAAAATATTTGACATCATTTCATGTTACTACTTACTTGTACAGGTTGCCACAACATGAGAAATGTTGAAAGGATTCTGAAAATATGAGATATAGCTGATAATTTTGTACATTCATGGGCATTTAGTCCCAGTATACATTGAGATTGAACTCATGACCTTATGCTTGCTAGGCAAGCACTTATACCACTGAACTAAATCCACAGCCTCTCCCCTGAGTATGCATTCTTACAGGCAGGACAACTGACCACATGTACCTGGGTACCATACTGTGTTCTTTTGTAAGTGTGATTAAAACCAAAATGTCTAGAGTTGAACCCATAAAATATACATTTATATGAGTTCCCTCACTATGAAATGTCATATTTCTAACAGAAGTCATGTAAAAATAAGGACTTCCTACATTTTATATTTATACTTACTTTCAGTCTGAATTTGTTCATGTTTGCTGAGGTTATGGGAGCCACAAAACTCTCACATTATCTACATTAGGTTTCTCTCCAGTGTGAGCTCTTTCAAGTATTTCAAAGTCAGTGGAGAACCAAAGGGTTCCCTACATGGATTACATACTTCCATTTCATGTATTTGGCTGCATGGGGAAAAACAAAGCTTTTTCTACATTGTGTATGTGTTCAGATTCTCTCCATGGTGATTTCTTTCTGTAGGTAATTATCTTTGTTTATTGAAAGATTTTCCATATTACTTACAGAGAAAATGGCTTTTCTCCACTGCAAGTCCTTTCTTGTTAGTGTAAGTCACATTACATAATCACAGCTCATTTCCTCTGTGACTTTTTAAATGTCTATAACAATTTCTGGAGCAACTGAGGGCTTTTTCACATTGATTACATAAATGGGTTTTCCATCTTTGTGGGTTATTTTATATATTTGGCAACTACTGTGTGTGCTGAGAGCATTCCCACGTTGCTTACACACATAGGGTTTCTCCCTACTGTGAGTTCTTTCATGTCTGAAAAATACAATGTTATTACTGAAGGCTTTCCCACATTGTGTACATGAATAACAAGCCACTCCACTATGATTTCTTTTATAGATTTGCACATAATTGTGTATACTAAAGGCCTTTCCACCTTGCTTACATAAAGAGGACTTCACTCCATTTTGAATTTCTTCACTGCAATCAGAGTAGATTTTCCCACGGTTTGTATTCATAGCCTTTCTCTCCAGGGTTTGTTTTGCATGCTTCTGAGAGGACTGGGAATCAAGGCAGGTTTCCCATAATCACTACATTTAGACAGCTTGTCTTCAAATTCCTCACACTCATATGATTTCCATGCAGTGTGAGCTGTGTTTTGTTTAGTGATAAATCAAACCGCGTCAGGAGCTTTCTACAAACAAGGCTTTCAGGTGGTTTTGTACCCGGTGGTTCATGTTCACATTAGGACCTGAAGTCCAAAGGACAGTTCTCTATGTTACTGGCCTGATTTATACAGCATTTCTTCATTTCTTCACATTTACACTCACCTTTAATCTGCTGGTCATTCTGGTTTCTTTCCCCAGTTCATCTCATTTCAGGACTCTGGTCCTGCACCATTATGATGTACTTCTTGAGGGTCTCCTAGGGTCCTTCCCACATGGCCTGAAGTTGGGAGGAATCACAGAGCAAGGTGGTGTAGCCAGCTGGGCAGCTCTCAGAAACACGATCAGGATCTGAACTTTGGTTTCGCCACACGAGAAGCTGAGCGGATTTTCATTTGGAGCTGCGCTACATGGCAGAGAGGCAGAGCAGGAATGTAATTTTGCCAGGGATTAAATTCCACCAAACAGTTTTTAATAAGCTGGCAATTGTTACATCATTGTAGCCTCAATAAGCTATTTTATTAGGTACATGTACGTTTGGAATTACTACATGTTCATTATGAGTTTAATGTTTTATAATTATAGTGATCATCTTTAGTCCTAGTGATGTGTTGTTCCTTAAGCTTTATTATGTCTGAATTATATAGCGTATATCACCTTTCTTTTTGTTAGACTACTCTGGTAAATCTTTTTCTATTAACTTTTTCTGTTTACTTATGTTTTAATATATTTTGAACAGAATAAATGTGATTTCAAAACTCTATTTTGTCTTTTAACCAGCAAGTTTTGTCCATCTATAGTTGTTACAATAGCCAATATATTTGTATTTGTATTCTATAAATATAGTACTACAAATACAACTATTTCTTCTATTCTTTTTCTTCTTTTGGATTGCTTCATTTGCATTAAAATGAATCATGAGAATGTTGAAGCATTTGAAATAAACTGAAAAGCAATACTTCCTATTTCTATTGCTAATCTAACAAAAGAGTCAAGCTGAGAGCAGCTGTCCCTAAACCCGGACTTGACAGATAAGCAAAATTTCCCCCAAAGCATTTATTAGCAATATAGAGTTGTCAGCTTTTCACATTTCCAAGTTAGAGAATTGACAAAACTCTCACACTCACAGCTACTATTGTTTATCCTGATTATAACTTTATTTTTAAAAAGACATTTTTTCTTCTAAAAAAGACATTTAAAAAGTTATCTCAGTTTAAAGATCATTTGGCGGGGTAAGTAAAAAGCATTAATGTGTGTTATGTGCCTGTATCAATTTTTCACCGTGAATGTAATCATTATGTATTGCAAATATGTACCAATAAAATTTTTTAAAAATGTAAAATGCTTTTTGGCAAATATATATACAATACAAATAGGTGCTGGTGTTTAATATAAGATATAATATGCATATATAATTTCTCCACAATCATATTTATGTTTCTAATTTCACTGAAATTTTAGAAAACTTTGACCTGTACCTCAACGAAACTCACTGAACCAAATACAATTGCATAGAAAGGAAGTCGGTTCTGGGTGGAGGCTCCAAGTTGTCTGGACTTGTATTTCCTGACTCTCTGGTTCCCAGAGACTCGGTCCTGAGCTCGCGAGCACTCAGGGTTGAGGGTGGCAGGCTAAGAATTTCTGCGTTTAGATACTTAGATCTGGATACGTCAGTGTGAAGGGTGTGCAAGTCATTTACACTTTGCATGTGCAACTCGAGTGCCTTTCAATCAGGTGGAATTGAAGATTAATTTTGTTACAGGAAGGATCCTTACTTAGATTAGATTTTGCTGTGCATGATCAGACAATATTTATAGGCTTTATTAGGAGTCAACGTGTATGCACATATGCATACAGAAATCGTCTAGCTCAGGAAAAAAATCTTATTTAGCGTAGTTTTTTGAGTTAAAACCAACAGAACTCCCAGTCCTCAGACGGTATCTATTTTGGATTCCCCAAAGAAAGAACGCTTCGTTCATTCATCCTTTTCTGCTCCCCTTTTCTCAGTCTCGTGGGATCAGAAGCCGAGTCTCCCAGATCTAGCGAGATGGTGGGGTGGGGTTGGTCTGGACCGCACGCTGCTGTTCGGAAAGGTGATGATGGTCCTTCTGGGGCAGATCCAATCGCGAGTTCCCGGACACTCTGGGCACCGCGACTTTATTTTTCAGTGAATTGAGCTGGCAGCGGCCAGTTTCTTCACCTGTCTCTGTGGCGCAATCGGTTAGCGCGTTCGGCTGTTAACCGAAAGGTTGGTGGTTCGAGCCCACCCAGGGACGAAAGGGAGAATTTTGTAAACCGTGACTTGTGGGTCGTGGGAACTTAAAAATCACCTTCCTACCTAACCGGTGAGTACGCCCCGCACAGCTGCGCTGTGTCATTCTTGAAATTTGCTAGGAGACTGCAGCGGGCGATTGCTGGCTGAGGTTTGAATGTGGTGAAACTTTTAGCTCTGTTATTAACCACTGAAATGGCGTCATCAAACTGACCCTTTGTATTTCCTGCCTCAGTAGAGGGGCAGCACATCCGGAACCTGAGTCCTGAGTTCTCCACCTCCTATGGCTGAGAGCCTCAAAGCCCTAAATGTGTCTAATTTCAGTTTGCCCCCTCCCTGCGACCCTCTACTGCATTGGGGAGATGTGGAAAGCAAGCTGCCTAATCTATTGAGTTCTGGTGAGAGGACAAAGCTTTCTCATTAATCCAAACCAATCACTGACAGTTTTGACAAAAAAGAATTTTTAAAGATCATGTTTTATTACCAAGATTTTTCTATCTTCTGAAAATAGCACACAAGATCTTGTAAAACACTTTATTAAAAGCAAGAAATGCTGTCTAAAAACAGCCGAAGCACAATAGTTAAAGCTTTTTTCTGTAAGCAGCCGTTGTCATCTCCATCTCCTCCCCACTGGCACTGGCAGGCTGAAGGATTTCAGTGCTTCATCCTTTAACTCAGGGAACTAAGGACGTTTAGCATTGGTTACCCAAAGACTTTTTAATGAATAACATGAACTAAGTTTTATGTAAATTAAATATAAAACAGAAAAGCTGATCTTAGCCAGGCATGGTAGGGAAAGCCTATAATGCTGGCACTTGGGAGGCTGAGGCAGGAGGATTGCTGAGAGTTTGAGACCAGCCTGGGCTACAAAGTGAGGTCAAGGCCAGCCTGAACTGCATAGTGAAATCCTGTCTCAAAAAAAGAGGAAAAAAAAAAAAAAAAAGAAAGAAAGAAAAGCTGGTTTTACATTTCCTGCCCCTCCTCTCTCTAATTCTCACTACCTTGGTCAACAAAAACCTCCTAACCTTCTGCCCACTGCTTCTACAGACTTGTGGTTATTGCTTTCTTGACATGTTTTTCAGGTTAGACGGGGAGATACCTCTGTCACCCAGGTTTCTCTGTACTTTTCTGAATCCACTCCCTCACCCCTTAGCCCCCTTCCTATGCCAAATTTCTATTCAGTGCATTATGAGGATTCATCATGATATACTCACAGGCCACCCCAATTCTGTCAGAGACCCCCCAGTCCCCACTCAACCCAGGAAAACTCAAATCCACATCACTAGCATAAGTTCTCTTTACTCTGCTGTGCTCCTTGCCAGAGAAAGGAGTCTTATCTCTGGGCCCAGAGAGGGGTCTCCTTGTGTGTCTTGGACTTCCCTGTTCTTTCTTGGCCACTTTTTCTCCTGCATTCTGCTAAATTGCCTGATCCCTAGTGGCTCCCACATTCTGTCTGAAAGGGGTTTGGGGTTTCCCTGAAGGCAAGCAGCTCTGTAGCAATGAATGCACCACTGCTGTTCCTGCCCTTATTCATTAACACCCTTATCTGCTTATTCTTTTGTTTACAGGGCTTCTTATACATTTCTGTCCAGAGCCTCTGGTTGCTTTTCTGGGAGACTGTGGTTGGGGTGGAGAAAACATACAGCTCTGAGTCTTCTGGGCCCGAAGCTACTCCTAGGGCATCACTGTGGGTCCCCGAAGATCATAGGCCTTTTCTTCCCATTAGATAACAGAGAAAAACTAGCCCGGATCTGAGTTGTGATTTTCCTGCTGTTGAGGAAATGCCTGACAGGGGGATGAGGAGGTTGCAGATCCATAGAGAGGTTGCCAGACATGGTGCTGCTGCCAGAACTAATCGGTCATTTGTCTTGGGCCTGACTCCATTTAAAATTGTACTCTTCCTTGTGTACCATTGATCTTCGGAGGTCTCGCCGAACAAAGAAATACAGCCCAGTGTCCACCGCAAACAGCAGTCCCATCATCAGGCAGAAAGCGATTTGTTGCCACAGTGGGAAGAGCGGTGCGATGGATGGACCTAACAGAAGTAGAGAAATGAGGAAAATGACAGTCGCTAAGGCAGAAATTTGGAACGAACTGAGAGATCAACAGGGAACAGTGTTCCTGACCCCTGCCAAGGGACAGGTTTTCAGGCATGAGCAGTGGGGGCCCTGGGGGACACGTTTGCTCCTTCCCACTGATTCCTGATCTTAATGTTCCCTGAGTGAGTTTGGCTCATCCTCAGCCACAGCTTTTGCTTGTTCGGTGGGGAGTGTTCAGCAAGTGAAGTTGTCTTAGAGACAATGTTCTTGTCTATCAACTGGCACAAACTTGTGGATTTCAGTATCATTTTTTTACTTTTTTTTTTTTTTAAAGCAATATCTCTCTATGAATTCCCAGGCTGGCCTTGAACTCAAGGTAATCCTCCAGCCTCAGCCTCTCAAGTGCTGGATTATAGGTATGTGCCACCATGTCCTGCTTAACTCTTAATTTAAATTGGCCACTATGACATGAAGGTCTTTCATGTATCCTTTACCCAGATTCATTGATCATTAATTTTGCCCCATTTGCCTATCTGGGCCCTTTCTTAACCATTTAAGAGTGCAACAGGCCTCTTGAATTCACAGGTTCTGCCCCTGAAGACTCAACCAACTGCAGCTGAAAAAGATTTGAAAAAGCCCAGCATGGTAGCCCATGCCTGTAATCCCAACATATAGGAGGCTGAGGCAGGAGGATGGCAGTGAGTTAGAGGCCAGCCTGGGTTACATCATAGTGAGTTCAAAGCCAACTTGAATTGTAGAGTGAGATTCTGTCTCAAAAAACAAAACAAGACAATCTAAAAATATTTTCTGTCCTGGGATATGGATGTCAGTCCAATTCTTTCACTTTTTCCGAATGGTTACATATTCAGATTTTTAAGTCCTTGATGTGACCTTAGGGACAATGATTATTTTATTTCTGTATTTTACCTCAATTACTTCATCTGTAAAATGGCCTCATTATTACCTATCCATAATGTGGTAAAGATCAAATTAAATACATATAAAAAAAAATCAGCACATTGGAAGAAAGGTAGCCTGTTTAATAAGCGGTGCAGGAAAAACTGGCTTTCCATGTGCCGAAGACTTAAACTAGACCCATGTCCACGATCATGCACTAAACTAAAGTCAAAATGGATCAAAGATCTAAATATTAAGACAGAAACACTATATCTACTGGAAGAAAAAATAAGTAGAAACCTTGAGGACATAGGGATAGGTAGAGAGTTCATGAACAAAAACCAAACTGCATGAGAAGTACTTCAAAGAATCAACAATTGAGATCTCATCTTATTAAAAAGTTTATGCACATCAAAAGAAACCACCAACAGAATGAAAAGAAAACCCATGAATTGGGAAAAGATTTTTTGCCAATGTCCCTCAAACAAAGAATTTCTATCTAGAATTTATAAAGATCTGAAAAAAAACAGGCCCCCAGATTTAAATACCCAATCAAAAAATGAGCTTCTGAGATGAATACACACTTCTCAGATGAAGAAATACAAATGGCAAATAAATATATGCAAAAAGTTTCAACAGCATTGGTCATTTGAGAAATGCAAATTAAAACAACACTGAGATTCCATCTCACTCCAGAAAGAATGGCTCTCATCAAGATATCAACCAATAACAAATGCTGGTAGCGCTGTGGGGAAAAAGGAACCCTTCTCCACTGTTGGTAGCAATGTAGACTGATTATAACTACTGTGAAAATCAGTATGGAGATTTCTCAAAAAACTAGAATTAGAGTTCCATTCCACCTAACTATTCTCCTTCTGAATATTTTCCCAGAAGAACTAAAAGCACCAGACCTCAGTGATATATGTTCAAAACTGTATTTATAGTGATACAGTTTGTAACAGCCAGCTCTTTGTAACAAACCAAATGCCCAGTAACTGAATGATGGATAAAAAAGATGTAGTATTTTTATACGATAGAATACTACTCAACTTTAAAGAAGGATAAACTAGAGACTTACAGGTAAATGGACGCAACTAGAAACGATACTCATCAGTGAAATAAACTCAGACTCGCATGTGTAAGCACCATTTTGGCTTGCTAGTATAAGAAACTGAAAGAGTAAATAAGACCCAAAACTTACAATGGATATAGTGAAAGGGAAAGAAACTGCTCAAAGGGAAATGATATCATTTGATCAATTTTGCATGCTGTTTGTGGTAACCTGAGCAACTATTTTGAAGACAGAAATATGCAATATAACAACCATTGTTATATTCCTATTATCTTGTTTTGAAATCCTATATCGCTATTATTTGTTTGTTTTGTCATTTTGCTTTTGTTGTTGTTGTTTTTCATTTGTTTGCTTTTTTTTCTCTTAAAAAAAATCAGGGACCAGGGGTATAGCTCAGAGGTATAAGTGCCTGCCTGATAAGCGTGAGGTCTAGAGTTCAATCCCCGGTATCAGATCAAAGCCAATAAATACCAGTTATCTTTGTTAAGAAGAAGAAATTAAGCTGCCTAGAATCTACTAGCTCAGGCATGGTGACATAGCAAATTAACCACAAAGACAAAATCCACGTCCTTTAACGTGAGGAGTTGAGGAGATTCTGCTAGTCTGGCTCTGGGCTACAAAAAAGAGGTTGATGAGTAGAAGGAGAGCACTTAAGATGGCCAGCATGGCAGGTATACCACATCAGGCCAGTGTCAGGGTAAAGCCAGGCTGTTTTGTTTGTTTTTGTGAGTTTGTTTTTTGAGACAGGGTCTCACTATATAGTTCAGGCTGGCCAGGAGGTAGGGTAAACTTCATAACAAGACTTGCCTCAAAAAACCCCAAACAAACAAAGAATTCAGGCTGGCCTTGGGCTCATTATGTAGTCCAGACTGACCTAGGACTCAACTCGCTGCAATCCTTTTACCTCAGCCTCCTGAATGCGGGGATCACAGGCTTGCCTTACCACGCCTGGCTAAGCACCAGGAGTGCTGGAGCAAATTCTGTTTCTACCCCTGCTGTCACACTGTAGAGTGAGTGCCACCTCTCAGCTGCCCCTTAAGAACTGGCTGCCACAGAACTGCATGCTTATCCAGTAGGCTGGGCCCTTTGGGGTCTCTCTGAGTTTCCAGGAGGGAACTCTATAACAGAAGTCTGTGGAGTCAGGGATTCCCCACCCCCCAGTTCCTCTTGACACACCTAGGGCTGCACCACTCTCACCTTGGAAGGTGATAGCCACAATCCCTGAAGACTTGTTGTTGTGTCCAATAAGCCCCCTGCAGTAGTAGGAGCCGGTGTGATTGACTGTGGCTTCTGGGATGTGGAATTCAGAATTGTTATGAAAGAACTTCTTGGGTTTGCCATTCTGCAGGTAGGTGACTTTGTATAAACGCTTGTTCTTCCAGCTGTGGCACCTCAGCCGAATGGACTCCCCCTTCTGGAACACCCACTTGGAGGTCTGGAGCACTAGCCAATCTGAAAGACACAGAGAGGACTAAGGCTTTGGCCTCTGCATTCAGCACAGGGCTCTTGAGTTTTTCCAACACTGGGAATTGAACCCAGGACTTTTGCACTGAGTTATATCTCCAGTTATATCTTTTATTTAAGGGCAGGGTCTTGCTAAATTACTAACTTGCTGGGTTCAAAATTTTGAGACTCCTCTCTCAGCCTCCCAGAGTACTGGGATTGCAAGCGTGAGCCACCATGTTAGTGCAGCTGATGCTCCCTTTGGATAGGACTCTTGGAAAAGGAATATTTGTCAGCCAGATCCCAGGACATAATGAAAAACCAGATGGGGACAGTCCTACAAATCTCTTCTTGGGGAAAAACTCACTGGGCCCTGCAAAAAGAGCTAAGGTCACACTGAGACCTTCTCTCTGATGAAGGAGACACACACACACACTCGGAACATAATCTCAGAACAAGAGGGCTAGGAAAGCCAGAAGGAAGGTGGGTGATGTCCACAGGATCTTTAGACTTAGATTCATCTTGACAGTTAACAAAGATTCATGGCGAATTCTAGACCGAAGCGGGGAAGTGCATTGGAAAATGACAATTTGCCCCATTAGATAAAAGGTAAATTTCAGGAGGAATAGGCAGTTGTAGGAATACCAAAAGACCCTTGCAGGAGTATTCCATCCTCACCAGCATGGACTTGTAGCTGCACTGAGTCACTGAGTGGGGAGAGGTCCGTCTGGCACTGGTACTTGCCACTGTTCTCAACTTTGATACCGCTGATGAGGTAGCTGGGGGCCTGGCTCCCGACGATGTGCGTTCCGTTGTGGAACCACCGTGTGTTGTTATTCTCAGGGGGGTAGGCTCCCTGGCATGTCAGAGTCACATTGTCGTCCGTGAGCACCCTCACCCACGGAGGGTCTAGGAGCACCACGGCCTTTGAGGGATCTGCTGAGGAGCCAAGAGAAAGGAGAATGAGGAGTGATGACCGAGCAGGCCCCACCCTGGCATTCTCATGGCAGCGCAGAACCAGAGCGGGCACTGTGCAGCCACGGTGGTGACTCAGCCTGAAGGCATCTTGGCTGGCAGGCACTTGGCTCCATTTGTGGCCTGCCCCGTAGTTTGGGAAAAACTAACCAGACAAGCACAGGAGCAAGCTCTACTGTTGCAAGAACCGCTCCTGTTCACCCCACCGCGGGAATTGTCTGTGTGACGGCCATTTCTCCCTCCCCACATGTGCCCCATTTGATCCATCCAAGACTATGAAGCAAACTCACCAGCTTTTGTGACAGATGAAACTGCAAGGAAAAAGAAAAGCATGAATCAGATATTGGGTAGAGTGAGGAATCAGGGCAAATGCCCTGCAGCCCAGGATTCCTAAGAATTCAAATATTTAGAGTAGGTGCCTCCCCTACTGCGTGTCCTCTGGTCTCCACTGACTGTGTCTCCTGCCACAGCATCACCCTCATCCCATTTTTGACACCATCCCCTTACTCCTCATGCCTTGTTCAAACTCAGGGTGATGATGGAATTTCTTCAAATCAAGCCATAGGAGCGATCTTAACCCAAGACCCCTGGCAAGATTAGAAATTAAGCCTACTTAAACAGACTTCAATTGAAAGAGACAGACCTCAGGGATCATCTAACCTGTGCTCTTCAGTTGACTTATAGGAAATTGAGACCCAGAGGGATGACAACTGCTCCCTGAATCCCTCTTCACCCTGATGACACACTGATCAGACAAGAGCTCTGTTCCTTTCTAGCCCTCAGACAGTTTGTCTCATCCCTGGCCCCAAAAGGGTTTCTGCCAAACCCAGGGCTTCTTAGCTTCTCCCTTAGGCAGAGTGACCCAGACTTACTTAGAAGTAGCAGAGCCGACGGTGGCAGCAGGTGCCACATACTGCTGCACCCGAGTGACAAATCACCACAGATATCAGGAACCACCCGTAGGGGAACTAGCTGACCAGAACAGAGGAAGTAAATAGTCTCTCCCCCAACCCCAGTCCATCATTCATTGGGTTCCTTTTCCAGGAAAGTCATCTGATTTCTGAATCCAAACTCTGACATATGAGCCCCATGACAGAAGAGCAGGAGGGGAAGAGCCTGGAGGACAAGCAAGGTGGTTCTGACCCTCATGTGCTCCCGCTGAGCATCTAGGGGACACACAGAAGCCATCACAGTCTTCCCTTGGCCATTTCAAGATGCTTGCCCCCATCTCCTGAGTCTACCCAGACCCAGGAATCCTACCCTCACTGGTACCAGGGCAGTGCTGAGTTATATAGTTCAGGAAGGTCTGGCCCCTCAGAGACCCAGGCCAAGGCAGGTCAGTGAGTCAAGTGGCCCGATCCTAGGACTCCTTACCAGCAAAAGTGGGGGCGTAGCCAGGAAGTGGTAAGGTTGTCAACCTCCTCTTCTCAGTCCAGTGGCTCCAACACATATGAAGTGTGACCAAAATATATTTTAAATTTAAAAAATTGCTACAGTAAATGAACATTGCCATTGATCTCCCTTTAAGTATTCCCTCTCACTCCAAACACACCCCCTGATTCTTGATGCTTTCTGAAGCAGTTCTGAAAGTCCTCTTTCCCAAGGTCTTTAGGAACTGTGATAAAATCGTGTTGGATTCTGCTGCCGAGCGCCTCCCAAGGAAAAGCAGGCTCCTAAAACCATTACAATCTCTCCTCATCCACCTGACTCACTGAAGCTGGCCCTGGGTGACTTGTGCTTCTTTTCAAAGTAAAAATGATGTGAAAGGTAAACATTTTGAACTGATTCAAGACAGTGAGGCAGCCAGGCCTGCCCAATGAAAGACCCTCACAACAAAGGACTTCCAGTGCTGCGTTAGGCAAATGCTTTATCATTAAGCTACATCCCTGGTCCCAGAACTGCTTCAGGAAGTGACAAGAACAATGGGGTAGAGTGCTCCAAGTGTGTTGGTGTGAACTTTGAGGGGGGATTAGTGGCAATGCGTTTTTTATTGTCACTTAAAAAGTTTCAAACATTCACTGTACTTTTCCATCACACCACATCCACACACACACACCCTGCCCCAACGTCCACCTCGTTTGCTATGACTCCACCTGGTGGCGCTGCTCCACTAGTGGGCTCCTAGACACCTGGCAGGTATCAGCCAGCTTGGGTGAGCAGCAGACAGGTATGGGCAAATGAGGCTTAGCAGGGATGGAGCTGGCACAGGGCCTGCTGACCCTCACTTTGGGCTAACACAGTTCCTGCTCCAGGAGCTTACAATAACTGTGCAGATTTAATTGGTTGTGCTTTGTTTTGCTCTTGGGTAGAGTTGTCATCCACCCAGTCCCACAGGTATTCCTGCAGCAGGGGCTCAGACATCTGATGAGGGTGCACATGGAAATGAATCAGGCTGTCATGCTAATGCTTGGTTTCAAGAGATACATGGACATCCATCAAAATTCAGACTCCTTTCTGGGAGCACAGCTGCTTCTTGTGGAACTAAAAGAGAAGAGATGCCCACAGAGGTAGGGATGGTCTCTGACAGGAAGGGTGGGCGCCATCTCCTGTTTCCCCGTAACGTTCTACCCCCTAACTTGTGGTTTTGAAGTATTCACTTTAGTGTTCCTTCTTGGAGGTTTCACTTGCTTTTCTGACCCATTGTCTTATGGTGCTTCTCAGGAGAGGAATTGTCAGCTGCCGAGGGGACTGGCTGGAGAGGAAGGAGAAAGGGACCACAGCAGCCTCAAAAACATGCATTTTCATAAAGTGATTGTTGAGCAGTCCTCAAATTGAGTGCTATTGAGGGCTGTAAAAGTTAATTTTATGATAGGTAACTAACACATTTTTACAGAGGGCTGGATGGCCTTAGGGTATCTTATACTGAAGGGTTTCCTGTATGCCCACTTACTCTTTTCTCCTTTCTGCTTTCTCTTTCCTTCATCATATTTATTGCTATATTCCCAGTAATTAGCCCATGGCCTGCCACACGCTAAGCACTTGTATGTGAGAGTAAGAAAACCGCCAGGCACTATAAACACTCTAAGCTGAGCATGGGCATTTTTAGGTTTCATAAAATTACTCTGATAGCGGTCAGAGAGCTGAATTAGAGGGAAGAGAAATTGGAGGCTGAGGGAAGAGTTGGGAGGTTATTTCAACAATCTAGTTGAGAGGTAGGAGATCCCATTGAAAGAGATGCTAAGAAAGAAGAATAGACAAGACTTGGCTGAGTGATTGGCCACAAGGAGTGATGGGAAGGGAGGGGGGGTCCTGAATGAGGCTCTTTCATTTGGTTCACGGCTCCTTTCTTTCACACAGAAACCATAGGTGGAGAAGTGACTTCAGGAGGGAGCCTGTTCCCAGCTTTCCAGTGTGAACTAGTTGCTGAGATTGCAGGCAAAGATGTAAAAAAAAAAAAAAATTTTTTTTAAAGTAGCCAGAATAGGCAGTTGGAACTCAAAAGATGTGTGGGGAAAAAGACATGATTTAGGAGATACATGGTCAATGCTTTAGACTTCTGATAAAAGCTTTATATAGTCCCTCTCCCAGGAAAACACACAAATGTACACAGCATTTTCCCTGTAGTTTAAGAAGCTCCATGTGGACCCCACTAGAGCCCCTAGGCTAAGGTAAAGTATGGAGCCAGGTGCAGTATCTCCAACCTATAATTGCAGCACTGGGGAGGCTGAGGCAGGAGATTGTGCGTTCAGGCCCAGCATGGATTACACATGTGGAACCTGTCTGTGACAAAGAGGAAAAAAAAGGAAGAAGAGGAGAGGGTCAATAACAGAAGCACAGAACGCTTCTTTCGTAAGCAGAAGAAAAGCTGACAATGCTTCTTTTGCAGGCAAAGAGCTGACGAAGGAGTTCAGGGAGGAGAGGCCACAGAGGGAGGGAAACTCAGGGAGGGAGTGGCCAACAGTGGGAAATGGAGCAATCAGGGAGCCACTCTCCCTGGCTGTATCAGAGCAATTTCAGGCTCTGGGGCCAAGGCATAGAAGCTGAATAGCTTCGGGTTGAAGACTGAGAAAAGATGCAGAAGTTTTTAAAAAATTTATTTATGAGTCAGGCATGGTGGCACACGCCTAAAGTCCCAGCACTTGAGAGGGTTGGGCAAGAGGATCATTGTGAGTTTGAGGCCAGTCTGGGTTACACAATGAGTTGGATCAAACTACTAGTGAAACCCTGTTTCAAAATATAACAATAAATTTTATGCATTTATTTTTGTTTTATGGTACTGGAGAATGAGCCGAGGACTTTTGCACTGATCTCTCTCTCTCTCTTCCTTTCTTTTTGTGGTACTGCATATTGAACCTAAAGCCTTTAGAGTGAGCTCTATATCTGCTTAGCTTTTAGAGACAAGGTTGCTAAATTGCTCAGACTGCATTCAACCTTGGGATCCTTCTGCCTCAGCTTCCCAGAGTGCTGGTATTACAGATCCGATGCCCCCATGCCTGGTTTGTGGTATTGTATTTATTACTACTATTTTACTATTGGTGCTATTTACTACTTTTGATTTATGAAACTTTTTCAGAATCTCCAGTATAAAGGAATTGTGGACACTGCTCTGGCCTGTTGAGGCTCACCCCCCTTTCCTATTAGCACATCTTTCTCCTTGAGGGAGGCCCTGTGAGTAATCTAATAGAAATGGTGGTTACACCCTATGACTGAAGCCAAAAGGGCAGATTCCCCTTTTCTCTACCTTGGGGCAGTGTTATGGGATAAAGTGGGTGTTCCCGAATTCATATATTAAAGCCCATATGTTAATCCCCCGCACCTGGAATGTGACTCTATCTGGGCAGTGAGTCTTGAAGGTTAAAAGGAAGTCACTAAATTGGGGCCCACCCAGTGTGACTATGTGCTTATAAGAAGAGATTAGGGTACAAACCAGCATGGGGAGAAAACTAGGGGAAACCAAGCCAGCCAGCACTCTGATCTCAGGCTTCGCACTTACAGAGCCATGAAAAGCAAATTGGTGTTGTTCAAGCCAGTTGGCCTGTAGCTTAATAGCAGCCCTAGGAAACTGATCCAGATGGGTAGAGGTTGGGCCTGTGATCTAGGCCTGAGTCTGTAATGGGATGTTGAATTTTGAGTTACTTATTCACTTGTAAGAGAAGGAGATGGTTGGGTCCCAGATAGCACAGCAATGGGACAGGCTGACGTACTTCTTGTTTTCATCTAATAAGTCCCTTCTCTTACTTCATATATCCAGATCCTGATACTGTTGCTTAAAACCATTAACCCACATGACACAATAAGAAGGGACTCATAACACCTTGGGAGGCCAAGGCAGGAGGATCTCAAATCTACCTGGGTAAGTTAGTGAGACTCTATCTCAAAATTAAACAATGAAATGGTCTGGGAGTATAGTTCAGTGCAAAGTCCTAGGCTCAATCTTCAGTATCACAACATAAATAAATAGATAAATAAAAAGAAAGACAGACAGACAAGGAGGAAGAGGAAGAAGGGGAAGTGGGGAGAATCATACCCAGTTTTGGAGGTGCATCCTTGTAATGCCAGCTACTAGGAATGCTGATTGGAAGGCTGAGGTAAAGATGATGGCAAATTCAAGGTCAGCCTGGGGAACTTAGCAAGATCCCATGAGTATGGTGGCACATGCTCGTAACTTCAGCATTCTAGGAGGCTAAGACAGGAGGTCACAAGTTTGAGCCCTGCCTGGGCAACTGAGTAGCTTAGTGAGACCTTGTTTTAAACTAATCTAGAGGGGTGGTGTGTGCCTAGGGATGTAGCTCAGGATGTGGGTTCAGTCTACAGTAATGCCGATAGAGAGAGAGAAAAGAGAGACAGAGAGAGACATACAGAGAGAGAGACAGAGAGACAGAGAGAGACAGAGAGGCAGAGAGAGACATACAGAGAGAGAGACAGAGAGACAGAGAGAGACAGAGAGGCAGAGAGAGACAGAGAGGCAGAGAGAGACAGAGAGACAGAGAGACAGAGAGAGACAGGGAGACAGAGACAGCAAGAAATAAAAGGTTTGGGAGTATAGAATGTCTACCTAACATGAACGAGGTCCAGGTTCAATCCTCAAGAACACACACACCCACACACCCACACACACAC